AAGCTGGTAAAAACTCATTGCAAAAAATAGAGGAGGACATAAAACTCGGTTCCATTTCGAGGTAAACTTCAAAACCAAGTTTCGCTTGCACCGTAATTCAAAACATTAACAAAGAAAGAGATAATAATTATCTTTACTATAATATTAATGGAATTTCCCCCCAGATATTACAAAACATACAGGATAATCAGCCTCGAATAACACCATCCATAGCAAGAAGGGAAACGATTTTCCCCCGCGATGGACAGCGGCATAAAAGCGACCCTCTCAAGGTCCCATTCTCCTACGGGGAGCTTTGTTGTTAGCACCGGGGCTCCAGCAGGAATCCTCCGCTACATGACCCTGAAGTAAGGGTGTTTTTAGAGGCTTCAGTGACGTCATGAGTTGAGTGACATGGATTTTTCACCCAAGCGTTGCCTTCGTCTGCAGGATATGACACGGGTAACATTTTTCGTAGGCGCTGCTCAGGAACGCCTCTTCCTGTCCTAGGAGAATACAATTTCGCAGATTTATAGCATGTGTAAGAACTTTACATTATTAAGACATGTATTGTTAAGGCATGCAACAAAAGAAGGGGCCTTAGTAACGTGAGAGGTGAAAAGGTGAACGGAAAGGTAAGGGTGAAGGATGATGCTGAGAAAAAAATCGAATCAGTTTATGTAATGCGCTTTTGTTTATTTTTTAGGAGTAATAGTTATTAGTTAACACAAATAAATGTGCTAGACATCAAATGTCATATAGCACTACGTACCTATTTTCCTATCCTAACATGACATAAACTTAACATGTATACAAACCCTAAACCTAACACAACCTAGTCTAAGCTAACCTATCCAACCTAAACCTTAATCAAGCATAACCTTGCCCAAACTAAACTCATCTCTCCCAATCCTTAATTTAATATCTAACATAAACCAAGCTAACATAACCAAACCTAAATATAACCTTGTACTAGTTAAATGCTAAATCTCATTCAGGAATAGCATTGTATTGGCATACCATTTTCAGTTAATATATGATGAATATTAATCACTGTAGGGACATGCAATTCGTGTACCGTGTATTTATAAAGATATTTCATCGTAAATACTATTTGTCTCTGCCCGACAATAAGGACATTATACTAAACTCAATTGTTAAAGTTCAGAACGTTTTCCAGGATATTACAACAAAACAACTATGTAAAAATAGTAACGCAAGACGAAATACGCATCTTATAATAGTCAAAAGGATAATATTAAAAGGTCAACAATAAAAAAAAATAAAAAAAACTTTTGAAAAACTTGTCTCGGGACCTCAGTAACGATGGGCATAAGAAATCCGGGAAACGTGCAGGGACTGTACATCTTTCCCCGCAGATACAAGTAAAGAATACAGTTTGTTGCAGTTTTAACATTGATTGCTTGAATGATGTATAGTCTCGTGGCACAACGTACAAAATGGGTGTATAACGAGTCGCAATTCTTACCTTGTTTTCAACAGGACATATTGATTCTATGTTAGTCGTTACATAAAAATAACAAAATGTCTAGATTGTTCATTGTGACACTATAATCCTAGGAAGAACCCTTGTACTTCCACTGTGGTTGGGAGCTTGGCGAACCCTGGCTGCACCCACGCATGGCAAGGGGAAAAAAACATTCTATTCAGTAAGGTGGCTGTTAAGCCATATAATTCAATAATGCAATAAGAATGAGAATATAACATTTACATTTATATACATCTATATTTACAACCATGTAAATTTTCAGACATATGTGTCCGCGCGTGCGCGTTACTACATATATATGTGTGCAAATGGACAGATATCTACGACAAATAAGTTGCAGGTAGTGCAATTTTAGCACATAATGCAAATGAACACATCGGGGCAAGGGAGGTGCGATCTAGACTCCGTTGACCTTGGTATCTCCCGCGCCAGGTAAGTACAGGATAGTCAACTGACGACGGGACTTCGCTGTAGGGGGAAGGGGAGCGGGGGTTTCTACTTTCACGATAAACCACATAAATTTAGCTTTGTGTTTATAGGACTGTGTCCATTTGAATTTGTGGTGGACAGGGATAGTAATCCAGCACCTAGAGCTCTCCCCAATGAATGTACACAATCATTATGTCCTTCTTGGGATGTGGAGATCTGCTATGGTAAAACAATGAACCGCACGATCTTGAACCTACCCGGATATGAAGATGCCGTAGCGTCATTTTATTACATGCAGTTACTCATATCTTCCCCCACGACATTCACATCCATGTAAAAGGTATTTTCTGTTTCTGGTTCATATAAATTGTTGATTTGATCAGAATTGAAAACAGTATTCGCATATGCCGAATAACACCGTCGTGGTTGAAAAAATGACAAATTATTCTATTGCAGAAAAAACACTATACACAAAATTAGTATACTGAAACTTTCATCTTTAAGGAAAAAAAGACGTTTATTGTATTTCTCTGCGGAGAGACGAAAAGAAAAGCATCACCAACGGAAACGGGAAGGATATTC